GGGGGGGGAGGGGAGACACCTCTTTATCGTTATGTCACAATTAAGGAATACTGCAGAATGAATGCACCAGCCGGTGAATTTCCCCCACTCAGAGCACTCAAAAATCTCTTCAAGTTAGTTAAATATGCAAAGGTTAGAGAGAAGGAAGATATACATTCCTGCCAAAGATTCATCTACTCCCAATGCAAAGGATTCCAGGAGACCAAGTCCCCCACAAGTATATCCCCTAAAAGATGACATTGCATGTTACATAGTAATGTCCCATAAAACATAGTGCTGCTCCACTTCAGAACAGGTCATTCTGTTTACTTAGTTGCTGTTCCACTGAACATATGGCTGTGCATGAACTAAGACCCAGCTTCTCTGAATGCACTTAATACAGATGAAATTAAAGGACAGAAATCCTCTAAGTCCCATGAAGAAGGTGACGAGTTTTTTCAGTATACAGGCTTCTAAGGAAAGTTTGTCTACTGAGATTCTTGTCTAAAGATTCATCCAGGGTTTTCACTCTGTCATTCTCTGTTATCCTAAAGTTCAGAACAACTGCTTTTTCTGCCTTCAAACACAGCCCACCAAGTTTGCTTTTGCTGATCTTTTTGCTTTATATCACTAGATATTCCCCCTTGCAAATACAGATCTGACTCTAGATTGACAAATCACAGCTCTTTTTTTAGTCCTGAACTGATTCTTTTGGTTCAAACCAGAATCACAGTCTCAGCTGCTTTTGACATCTTTGCTTTATCTGGATATTCAGATAGGTTTCCTATTCATTCGCATGATCTAAACCCAGGCACTAAAATGTAGTTATTTCTTTGACAATCTCATTTAGCAACTGCAACATTTTACTCACTGGTTTTAAGAAATGCTTTTATTAGTGACTGAAAAGGGTTAATCATCTGGTCACTGACATTTGATATTATGTCACAGTTTGAACTTTTGTCTTTAGCATCATGTGGCACATGTGGTTGTTGACCTTCACTCTGTTCTGAGTCACTTGAAAGGTTTTCAAAGGATGCATATGGAGTGTGGAATCAGAGTTTTAAATACGTTTAGTGGTTGTAATGAGCTTCTGAAGCTCTGAGCTTCTGTATCAAAATGGATGTAAGGACTGCTTAGAAAGCATTCAACATCATAAAACAGCTAGGGAATAACATAACATGCAACTTTCAAAAGAGAGGAAGAAGCAGGGGAAAAGGAGAAAAAATTAGGTAAGAAATGGGAACAAAAAAGTTTTAAAAGAAGTAATGGCAGCTAATGCTTTTAAGCCATGTGAAATTTGGATAGATGGCAGTGAAAGAAAGAAGGCGGCCAGAGTTCACTGGAACAGATACTTGAAGCTAATATTTGGGTTAACTTGGCAGTAACTGAGGTTAAATTTTTGAGGCTTAAAGTCAATTTGTCATTATTGAACCCAAAATATGACCATAAAAATGAGGAAGTATTCAAGTAAATACAGATAACCATTTCATTTTGTGGTTTTGATCACTGAATTTTAAAGATCTATCCCCAGAAACTGTGATATTTCCATGTTTTGTCAAATTGAAGAAGTGAAAAACAGCAAAATAAATTGTTGTCATTGATGACAGTAGAAGTTTTCACTAGAACTTTGAATCCATCTGTGTTAAGCCATTTATATTGGTCATTTAGCAGTACTTCATAGGAGTGAATTATGTGTATGCTATTTTTCAAGAAATATCTAAGGAAACGGAAACTGAATACCTCAATGAAAAGGATAATATAACAGCGGCAAGAAGAGTTTAAAGACATTAATCTATTGAAAGATTAGTTGTACTTTGGAAGAAAAAGTTTATTATTTAAAGCATGATGTCGAGCAATGCTGAATGTGGCTGCAGAACTACAGAGGCCCTAAAATGTCAGCTGCAATCCAACTCTTTCACTGTAAAAATGATAAGCATAATGACTTCTTTTTGGTACCAGACTTTCCAATATAAACAAAACCGAGACCATCTAGATCACTTAAATTAAGGTCGAAGGGTGAAATGTAACCACATGAAGTAGATGCACCAGCATTTTTACCTTGGAGTTCCTGTCAGTTCATTTGCACTGGCTGAAATAGTTACAGGACAGTTGTGCTAACAGGGTCATCAAGCATCTGAAGAACTTTATGCACTCAGCTGTAAAACCTGCCATTAATTGGTCTAGTTTTGTTTACTTCTAGCAGTTGCTTAGTAGAGGAACAATCAGCAGAACGACTTATACAAATTTTTCTGCTAATATTCACATGGGTTACTATAAAAAGCCCAAGCGAGTATATTTTACACATTCAGATTCTGTATATTTTTAAATTAAGGTATATTTCTATCTACAAAGGTATGATTTGAGAACAGGCTACATCAAGAGAAGACAAAAACTTCGCCTTTCAATCCTGATTTCAACACTGAAACCATCCATGGCCTTGGGCAAGTCTATCAGATTATCGGTATCAGATTCCTCATCCCTGAAAATGGGTTGATAACCCTTATCTCATTTGCTGTTGTGAGGATTATTGTCTGTAATGATCTCTGATGACTGAAAACACTCCCAAAGTATAAACATACGATATTGTTAATTATATCTCAAAGGACATGCAGACAAGTAACTCTTCATAAAAAATTTGGAATTCCAGTTTAGAAACCGTACTTACTTCAAGTCTTTGAACAATTTCTCTGATGTCTTCAGTACAATTATCTGCTGCAGACAAAAGAATACATTCTCCTCTTTCATAAAATATTTTGATGCTCATTAATCCAGACGTCCATCCAATAACATCTCTGCAGGAGCAGTTAAACACAACATTTTTTGATTCCTTTTCAATCAACATGATAAACTCATTGGAGATTCCAAGCAGACATTCAATGTCAGCAGACTGGCCAAAATCTCGTGCAATCACATTCCACATAATTGCTCCAACACTGAATAGATGTGCATCTTTCCTTGGTTTCACTTTTTCCTTTTTTTTTGCCCCTAAAGTAATAAAGCTAAACTTCGCTGAAGTATCCACTGTAGCTGTGGTAACAAAATTTTCTGCCAGATCTTTCAAGTATTCTTGACGTGTCCTTGTGGCCATGGCTCGAAATTTTTCTGACTTATGTGCCGCATTTTCAGCATTAATAACTTTGGCTAAAAGGAAGTCCCTAAAGACTGCTGATTTGGGGAAAGTTACTCCTTTGGGAATGGGTGGACCAAATGGAGGTACATCTTTTGATCGTGAAACACCAACACTGGAAATAGAAAGAAAAAAAAATTCAACAGTTAATTCCTAAAAAAAAAAAAGCAGATGATAATCAGAACTGTGATCTGTGCAGACCATTTACACAGTTGGGTTTAGCTTTGACATGTCAATTTTCAGACATTTTAGACACATCAAAGGAAACTGATTCTGTTGTCCGTTTTCAAATGGCTTTTTTTCTTTTAAATGTATGAAAGACATTATGGATCTATCTTACTAAAAAAAAAATATCAAGGATGACTTCTTAGGATGTCACTGTCTCCTTTCTTTAGAAGAAATAAATATAAAAATACTTTGTGAGACATAAATGAGAGAAGTATTTTTTTAATATGTAAGTTATCGCTTTCAGCTGTCACTCAGTTGTATGATTTAAAAATAAGAAATATGTTAAATAGAAACAGAATTTATTTTATTTCACACAAAGTGTGAAGACAAAGAAAACGTATCAGTGCCAAATGTGTCTAAAATGGGAGCATTCTGTACCTGCCTAGGTTGCCTAGTCTATGTTCATAATATTTCAAAATACCTGCAATTCTTGATATGGACAGTTCACAGCAAAATGTAAGAGGAATACTTGCTCATTGATACAATTATACCTACAATTGTTATGTGCATAATGTATTTCAACTGAAAAAGGATTTCAAAATATTGTGCAAACTATGTACAACTACCACTAGTTTGACTGAAATGCAGTCACATTTGGGTGACAGACATCACTCAGTAATAAGAAAAATGTAACTTATGAAGTGTCATGTATTAAGCACCAAAGAGCTACTGAAACAAATTCAAGTTCTAAAAGATAGCTTAAGATCTAAAAGACAGCAATATGACCCAACCTCATGATGTACTTTAATTTCATTCTAAACAATGAATAAATAACATTTATACATGCTAAACATGCACGATTATGCTTGAAGTCCTCATCGTTATTTGCACAATTCCCCATCAGTTCAGAACTATGTTTCCACCCGTTACCTTGCTAGAATTCATGATGCAATAACTTAAATGTGAGAGTTAAGGTGAGCTGAAATTTGAGATATTTTTATACTCCCCAAAAGTCCTCATTCATGTGCTTAAAGGACATGACTCATCCCAGTGTCATATTGTCATACTCAAGGATTTATACAGGTGAACAGCCTTCTAAAATACTTCATTGTAAATCACTTGCTTTGAAAAAGGAAATGTGCAATACAAATTCTAAATTAATTTCTATTGCTATGTCTGCAAATCTTATTTTCACTAGCTTGTTATATCCCCCCATTTTATGCCCATAACTCAGGAGCACAGAGTTCTGCATATACCCATTTAAGTCTACAAACTGTGCCCCATAAGTCTAGATATGTGCAAGGGAGACACTGGGCTTTCAAACTCACAGAAATCATAGCAGAAATTTTAAAATTGCATACATAATGTTTCTGGGAAATACAAAGCTGTTAGAAGAGGCAGTTCCATTGTAGTCTTAATAATAAACTTAAATAGTTATAAGGCTCTACTCACCTATAGCACACATTTTCAGTGCAAGGATTATGCACTTTGACTATGACAAATACATGTTGAAAGTGGGAACGAATATTTTTTGGAGTAAAAGGAAGTGCTCCTGGCTCTTGGAAGACAATGGTAACTATGTCATTTCCTATATGCCTTTTCCTTAGCAGCTAGACAAGAAACATGCATTGAAAAATTAGTTACAAAAAAAAAAGTAATCACAATTTCTACATTTTAGGAAAAAAAAAAACCAAATAAATGAAGCTTAATTTTTCAGAAATAACATTTAACTAATCATATCCTGGATAGCTACAAATAAAGAATATCAGACTGAACTGCAAAATGATAGGGAAAGGAAACTAGGCCAAGTTCACAAAAATACTGGTGAGTTCACCTGCATCCCTGCACTAGTTCTGCATAATTTCTGCTCATTCCTCTCTTATTCTGTGAGAAAAATATATTTCTCTTCGTTTACTGCATCACCTTAGTAATAAAAAAATGTTACATCACTTAACATTTCTCACTGTCCAGAGAACTGTACATCAATTCCCTCTCTACAGTTAATATTTGCTTCTATATGAAAAATATAATATTGCTTTTCTTTCTCAATAAACTTCCTTTTCTATGTTGCATTTTTATTAAACATTGTCCTTAATGTTATAATCTTTTTTTTTAAAATAGATTATTATGAATACTCATCACAAATTTTAAGAACTGCATACTTGAGGAACAGAAGTGAGACACAGAATACTCACAGAGAAAAAATAGCTATTAGAGACTCATTAATTAAAAACTTATTCTTGTAATTGGTAGCTTTAATCATCAAAACATATTTAACAAATAATTTAAAGCACTAAATCATTGTTACAGGCTAAAACTACAAAATATGTCCAGCAATAAGGGACCACTTCTCTCTTCCCCCCTTCCCCAAACCCCAATAAAACAACACAGTAAAATGATTTTCGCTTTCCTCACACAAGTATATTGTACCTCTCAAATTTTTTTTTTACACTTTTTTCTTAAATACCTTTGCTTATAAAATATCCATGTATATTACCAGATGGAAAAAAGTAATCTACCATGCGCTACATTTTAAATATCCACCCAAAGTCTGTCAAAGACCTTGCATTGCCAGCCAATAGCATACAGACACTTAAAGCTTTACCTTATCTCATGTGTAACTAAAAAGGATACATGAATAAATGTAATTGAAAACTTTATGACAGAACAAGTAAAAACTTGTATATCGAGCTGATTTTACAGAACATAATCTTGTAATAAAAGAGTACTTGCTTGTATTTTGTCAGTTAGAAGTTAGTGTTTCAGGTACCAACAAAAAAAGCAAAGTTGTACATGCTAAAGCCTAAGACCCATAAATATGTTTTATTAAGTCTCCTAAAATAAGACAAAGGATGGTATTCTAAAGGTAGTAAGAAGGGCCAAGGCCACAATTTTAAAGCGCTCAGTTTATCCATATTATTTTAAATATAATCAAAATCCCAAATGCAGGTTAAAGAAACAAGACTTCTGATGAAATTTTAAAACAGATATAAGAACAGAAAATAGTATTTGTTATAAGTCATGTGGCTTGGTCAAGTTTTCAGGTTTTTAAGACTAAAATCAAAATAACTGGCTATTTGAGCAATTTAAGATATACATCCTGTTGCCTACAAATTACAGTAGAAGTACTCCACGTGGAACTGATCACAGAACTAAGTGTGTCAGGTATGCTTTAATTTGCTAACAAGTGAACCATACAATTAGATCATAGTAGTGGAGCACAAGTTCATGTGTAGAGGTTATTATTATCTCACAGGTTGGAATTTACACCACAGTTAAATTTGTAAGAAACCTTCTAATTATGAGGTACAAGGTGATTCATTTCTGCCTTTGCTATACAACTGCCCAATTACTCTTTCTTGCTGTAGTGGTTCATGCCTATGCCTACACATTTCCACAGAGCAAAATGATGAAAATTAGAAAGCAATATCCTGTTTAAAGTTATATTTACTTCTCAAGACAATCACTGTTTTCAAGAATATTTTCTGCCTTTGTAAACCTCTTTAGGAGGTTCTGCTTGCCATCATAGGTTGCTTAAGCAAGAATAGCAGTCACTTAATAAGAGGCAAGCTTTAGAAATGTTTGAAGTTTTACTAGCAAAAATAGTCTTTTCAAAATTATGGCAGTTCCCATATCCTATGCCTAAACTATTTTTCCAGAGCTTAAACCTCTAAGAGGCACAAAAATAGGAAATAGGAAGTCAGGTCATCATTTTTAAGAACCTTACCAAGCTTGCAGAGATCTTAGTAACTTCTTCGACATTTTAAAATAAAATCAGTGTAACACTGTTATAAATAACTGTCATGCACAAGTGGTCAGTGAACTTCAACACAATGCAAAGGCAAAGCAGTCATGGCTGTGCGCAGAGTATCACAATGCAAAGAAGTTTGAAAGGGGAGAGAAGTAAACTGGGGTGACCTGGAAGATGGAAAGAAGTGCTCTGGATAGGATAAAGGAATAGGAAAAGAATCAAGTATTGAAAGGAGAAGAAGGAGGGAACACAAACGTCCCTGGGAAACGTGAGATAAGGATAGCATACTGAAAATGAAAAAGGAATTGAAGGAAACTGGAATTAAGGAAAAAGATTTATAAGAAACCCTTTTCTAGTTTCCATTCTATAACCTAGATCTTCCTCCCAACTTTTACCTCCTAGGTTTTTTTCAGGTTCTCAGTTTCCCCTTCCTCTCCCATTTTGAGGTCTGCTCAGGTTTGGGGTTTTGGGGGGTTGTTGTATCTTTTTTTTTTTTTAATCTGCCTTTCTAACATACTCTAAAGAGTCTCATGCCAATGCAGAGCATAATAGGAACTCTCAACAGGGTGCACAGATTACAGAGGATTACTTACAGTAATGAGACATCAAACACACTTCGACATCATTCTAGTATCAGTCTAAATTGGCATGGTAGAATTTGAAAATGAACCCAATCAAGTATGATAGGCAGCCAAAAGGAAATCAGTGAAGTTTTATGTAAGAATACAAGACACGCAAAAGGGAGCCTGGTAAGGAAAATATGTTAGAAAGGCAGAACCCATTAGAGTAAAGTGATTTATACCAAATAATAGTTACTATATTAATTTTGAGATTTTAACTACTCAATTCTTAATTTTCAGATATGCATCTCTGAAGAAATGTACTGTTTTAAAACTTAGCATATTTACAATTTATGCCCAGCCATTAAAACCTATCCACTTCTGTGGAATTTTAATTGCCTAGTCAAACTGCAAAACAAGGAATTCTTGTTGAAATAGCAGTGAAATATATTCTTCATTCAATTAAATGATGAAATGTTAAGACTCAAATAAGACAATCTTCAAACTTATTTTAGTACATTTCTAAAATAAATGGGTTCACAAGTTTTATTTTCAATTTGTGTTCTTAACCAGTACCAAAATCAGAAACAAACAGCAAAAGGTATTTCATCAGATCTGGTTAAACCGAGTTTGGTATAACCACATGTCATGTTATCCCAACCATTTTAACAGTGGCTTAAATTCAGCAAGTTTATTTCAGTATTGCATATCTGTTTCATTTTTAAGTTTTCATTAAACCAGGTGAAAACTGATTATTTGAACTGATTTGGATTAATCAGGTCTGACCAGGTATACACAAGCAGACTGCAAATGTGTGAATGGGAAACTTGTAAGGGAATGATTTGGAAAGGGGATGTCGGGAAGGTAAAGTTTAAAGGGGAAAGCCTTGAACTATGATTTGAAGAAAGGGCCAGTAACAGAGAAGGAACTGGCCACATCAGGGCTGGTAGTCTTTTCTGTCCTAGGGAAGGAGCAGCTGACTTGAAAGTTCCCAGCCTATGTTGCAGCCAAAGTGAAAATTACCTTGCTCTTTGGATCTCCTGCTGGCTCTAAAACTAGAGGGATGTCCTGATCAGGGACCAAGCAGGGCGTAGTTATGTCCTGGAAGAAGCAACAAACAATTCTGGTGTGGCCTATTTTTGGCTCACAATTATTTGGAATATAAGCAATGCTCAGTGCTTGCTCATTGAAGGTTGTAGTCCTAGATAATGAAGAGTGACTCAACACCTTGCCCAGTCATTACCAAATACAGGATATAGGGATAGGATGCAATAACCTCATTGCCAGTACATACACAATATGCTAGCAAAAAATAACTATTGAGTGGGGGTCTTCATTGCTAACATAACCTAAAAGAAAAATTACCATGGCCACTAACTTCGCCTTACTTAGGTATGTGGAGTTAGTGAGCCAAATCCTGAAGAGACCAACAACATTCATAGTCCACAGCACCTGTAAGTCTTTCTCTATCTTGAGTACAACTGATGCAACTGCATCTGTGGTCTTCAGCATCTAAAATGTCTCAAGGAAAAAGACCTAATCAAATTTTACCCTAGCTTGTGAGAAATAACACTGTAGATGCATTTCACACTTCAGTATGTATTTTGGAACTGAACAGTAATAGAAGAAAATTAAACAATGATTATAGATCCCTTTTGCACATTAAGGCCAGCTCAGTTCTGGTCATTTGGGTGCACTTGTCACATTTCATTAAGAGTGTCCATGCTGTGCAAATACTGCTAGATCCCAGCACCTAAAAAAAAATAATGTGGTGGGTCTTCAAACAGGCATACTACTTGAACTTGGAAAACTGCCACATTATTTTGATCCTAAGAAAGCCATGAATAACAACATGGTGCTTCTACTAAATATTGAACCTGTTAAAGTGACAGTGATGAGAGCTTACTAAAACACTGTGGGGAAAGGAGTGCTTGTTGCTGGGGAAAACCATGGAGTTAAAATCAGAAGATTTTGCTGCACACAAGAATTGGCACCTGACTATAAAGAAAGACACAGAAGGAAATTATGAGAATGAAAGGAGGACACAGGAAGAAGTGAAAGGACAGTAACAGAGGGTGGCTGAGCAACACAGCAGTGAAGCTGACAAACAGCAGACAATTATGAAAATTAGTGGATTGTGGCAAGAGGATATCCTGTTCTCACAAACAAGGGAGAGTCATGAAAGACAACAACAGACATCATAAACTCCAAGTAAGGCCATATTTACTGTCAGTGCCTGTGATTAGCTATGAAAATATGAATAGTTTCCTTTTAAGGCAAGCTCATTCAGTGTATTATATCTTTTAATAGTATACAGTTTTCCCTATTTACATGTGCTTTCCAGTCAAAGATTGTTATGACTGATTACAGACAGAATAACTCCTAGTGTGTTTACTAAATTAACCCTGTATTGCAATAAGGTGTAAGTGAAAGTTTGGAGAAGTGGAACAATCTCAAGTCAGTGATCACGTTCCGATACCTTGATTACTAGCTATTGGCACAATTGAGTGTGTGATATAGCTGAACATTCTGTCTCCTGAAAGCCACACATTTTAAGATATGACTCATCTAAACTTTCATATTATTCGTATGATGAAGAGTTTGTCTTTTGATTCCTAATTTAGTTTCTCTAAACCATGTCTAAATCCAAAGTGTAATGAAGTTAAATTTGCAGTTGTCTTAACTGTTCACTTGAAAGAGTTCTTCAAACAGTTCAGAACATTATACACTGACTGTTTAAAATACATAAACATTATATACTTTCTTCCATTTTGATTTTCATTTATCCTTTCTCAAGAATTTTAATCACTTTCTTTTATCTCTTTCTTGCTGCCCTGACACATCTTTTTCGTCCCACAAGACCTATTGATAGGGTAGACATGAAAGATACAACTCACATATGGTTTAACAATCAGTAACCATCTTTTGTATGCTGTTCAAAAAGAAAAAGAGATAGCATCTTTATTTCATGACAACCCTCCAAAATGACTGAAAACTTTGTATCTTGCATGATAATGAGAGAATATTCTAAAACTAACTAAATCCAATGCTTATTTCTGCAGACCTAGAAAAATGCATAGTAGCACCGAAAGTTAGGAACTATCATCAGTCTAACCTATAAGCAATTCTACTGTTCTGTTTTGTCTTTGTTTTTTTTTTCTTTTTTTAGGTGTTAACATTGATATATTATACCAAATGTGCTTGTACTCTTTAATTCAGTTGCAAGAAATATCCTAGACAGGCAAGACAGAGTAACCTTACTGGTACACCACACACTTTGGATGCTGTGCTGGTTTTTAGCCATCCTTAATGCTTTAAAGATATTCTGAATTATTATATAAGCAAAGGGAATTCTCCAGAAATAAAATTAAGTACACTGCAGCTTTCTGTCTTCACAAGCAGACACCCTGAAGGACACAGTTAAGCATTTATTACTAAGCTGACACATTAATACACATTTCAAGATCTGTAATATAAAGATTAAGTGGAATTGTTTTAAACATTTTATTACATACATATTTTAACCATAAGACTATTTTCAAGCTTCGTTCCATTCAATGTTTAAAATATACGTAAGATGTAAATCCAGCCCAAACTGAAAATAACTCATTCACCACACACAAAATTACCTTCTAATAAAATACTGAAATGGGGAAGATAGGGTAAGTTCCTGAATTATATAGTATAAAAATCCTGATATTTCTAATGCTTTATAATATTTCAAAAAAAAAAAAAACAAGTCATACTTCTTACAAAACAATTCAGCTTTAAATCAGCATTTCATTAAAAAAAAACACCTCAATGTCAAACATTTACAATGTAAAATTACAAAGAAAAGTTAAAAAACATACCTGTTGCCTATTACTGGGCATGTATGGAAGCATTGTTGATACATGAAACATTAACTCATAATCTTTATAGGTAGTATAGAGGGAATGAGTTCCTGTTGAATCAGCTGAAAATGAATTTAATCATAAGAAGGTCAGTAAAATAGAACATTCATACTACTTTTTAGAACACAGCTCTTTGGATGCTACGATTTAAATTTCTTAATGCCATTTAAAACTTTTTTCAATAGAACAAAAAGCAGGAAGTTGGGAACACCGTATTGACTCAAGACAACTATCATTTTTTCTTCTCTTTTTCCATGTTCACTCATTTTTAAGATGATTTTATATTATCTACACCAATAAACATTCTCCAGCACTCTCTTCCACACAGTGTTTTGGTGTTTTGTTTTGTTTTAAATAGTAACTGTATTCCAAAAAGAAATTGATTGGTCATGTTAGTTCTCCAGTTAAAAGTACACACAAACTTAAGTGTAAAATTCAACAGTAAACATACTGTATCTGCAGCCCTCAATCTGTAAATATTTGTGTGTGTATAATTTTGAACACATTCATATTACAACTGGCTTCATCAGTTATGTTTGTATAATAATAAAATTAACTTAATTTATTAATATTGATGTAATATAGATTACAGTTACATAACAAATAGGGAGCAAGATTTCCACTGAAGTTTCTTGCTTAAATGTTGCTAAAAAAAGCCAGCTTTATTGCACTCCTCTATTTTAAAATCTTTGTTGAAAATATAATTCCATTTTAACCTTTCCATGGCATTTTAGAAAGATGAAGCTTTGAAACATAGAAGGAGGAAATAAATTATATTGTGAAATATAAATATCTGCCTAAACTACACTGATCTCAGCAACCCTACTCCCTGACTCCTTTTGCAATTAGATATTAAATAAAGTCAAGTTATCTTGAACAGATACTGCACAAAACAGTCCCTTTGAATACTTATTTACAGGAAGGCAAATTCCTTACCCTTAAATCAATGCTTTCCTGATACAACATCCTATCTAGTTGAATACTTTTGATTTAGCACCTTGACTTTGGAAATGACCTAGCAAGTTTTTCTTCTGAAATTTAGTCCTGTACTCTAAGCAAGCTGAAATCTTTTAACTCAACAGATGCTTTACTGAACACCCACTAAGGCCCACTGTGATTAAATTTACATAACGGTTGCTACTACAAACATTACTCTGCTGACAACTTTAGTGAAAAAAAAAATAAAAATCTGGGCTGACATTTTTGCACCTCATTCCTTTCTGAACATTAGTTCTATTTCCCAAAGTCAGCTAAACTTTTTTTTCAGCTATGAAACATTTCTGCTCCTTTGCAGAATAACACCTTTTACCAAATGAAAGTGAAACAGGACTATTCCTCCATAGATATAAAATTGCAACTTTTCCTCAATTTCTTTCACCTTCAGTTCTCTCTTTACAAGTATAAGAAAATTAATGTAAACATAATCCAATTTATCCATAATATAATCCATAATTCAAGTCTGATCATTATAAATGAGAATATTAATGTTCCAATAATATTTTAATTCCTCATTTCTAGTACATTGATATGTTTAAAAACATACACTAAACAAATTATGTAGTGTTGAATTGGTAAAGTTTCCTCTAATTTTCTTATTTCTTGATCGTGGGATTTAGAATTGCATGCCATTAAAAATGCACTAAAGAAGGGCAGAAAAGAGTTTGTAGTTAATATATTCCATGTGTTCTTCACATTTGCATTGGGTCTGGCTTGGATGGATGGAGTTAATTTTCTTTATAGCAGCCCATATGGTGCTGTGATTTCTATAGGTGATCAAAACAGGTGATAACACACCAATGTTTTAGCTATTGCTGAGCAGTGCTTGCACAGCATCAGGGCTTTCTCTGTTTCTCACACTGTCCCCCACCCTGGGGCGTATGCTAGGGGTGGGCAAGTGCTTGGGAGGGGACGCAGACAGGACAGCTGACTCAGATTTACCAAAGACATATTCCATACCATATTACGTCACGCTCTGCAGTAAAACTGGAGCAGGGGGAGTTTTTCCATGGTACCTGTTGGTCAGACTGGCTGGGCTGATGGGAGGTGGCAAGTCATTGCCTTTCATCACTTGTTTTTGTGGGGTTTTTCTGTTGGTTGGTTTGTTGATTGTTGTTGTGGTGGGTTGGGTTTTTGGTGGGTTGCGGGAAGGAGGGGGTGGGGGGAGGTGTTTGGCTTTTTCCTTTCCTTCCTTCACTTATTGAACTGTCTTAGCATCAACTCACAATTTTTTCTCACTTTTGCCCTTCTGGTTTTCTCCCCCATCCTGGTGGGGAGAGAGTGAGGGGCGGGGGCCATACCTGCCAGACAGGTCAACCCTCCACAACATGCTACATTCTATGCTCCATAAGAAATGGACCATTTCATTACTTATCAAGATATTAAATAAACAGACCAAATTTAAAAAAAAGGAATTTTTTAAAAAAAAAAAAAAAAACCACGGCTAGTCAAACATTTGAGAATAGAAAAACTTAATAAATATGAACCCTACAGAAACTGAGCAAGAAATATTACTGAAACATAATGCCTACCAAAAATGTAGCTATTAGAGATGAAATTGTTATGGTATTCTGAACCTGCAGGCAGTCAGATCAATGTATTATCCAATTATAAAAGTGACATGCAGTAATACTTGTTGTGCCATTATATTAGAAACCAAGTATAACACAAAAAAGATGATAATTAAATAAGTATTTTACATTTAATATAAAACTGAAGACTATATCTTTATGAACTCTCTTCATTCCATTCTGTTTGTTGCAAACTATGAGAACATTATGACAGACCAATATCGTTAATGGCACACAGCATTAGTAAAACATTAAAATTGTGTTACTGAATGATATGTACAACATGCCAATCAGCAATGTACATTCATACTGAAGCACAGCAAATACAGAAACTGAATTTGCTTGACAGGCCAGCATATATTTACATACATAAAAAATACTAGGTGATATTTGGTCATGCTCTGATTGGGGGGCGGGGGGAAGCAAACCAGAAACACCCCTTACTCCTTTGAATTTTTTTCATCCCTATTTATCAATTCATCCCAGAAGTCTGACATCCACAGAGTGTTAATAAATATTTCTACACGTTAATTTGAAAAAAAGAGTTATTATTCTGTACTGAAATAGGATGCAATAGTCTCTATCAAGCCTGAATTATTAAAGTGAAACAAGCATTGGATTTAAACAAAGAGGTAATAATGCTAATAAAAATAAATGTGATGCTTATGCAGGTTGACAAGGCTACAGAATTGCAGCTTTCCCACCTTGTAAGTAATAAATTAGAATCTGTCATTGGATTCAGCTCACTTTTTTAACCATTTCCCACCACTGCTAGAGATGTAGAAATGTGAAAGACTTCTTCAGTTAGAAAACTGGTCTCCCTTCATTGCAAAACCATGAGGTTTTAATCACCAACTTTGCATATCTCATTTCCCACTGGAGATTGGCCTATGGACAGTTTATCTGCACTGGGTACTAACCACAATGTACATGCACTAGACATTTCCCATAATTTCTAATACAAATCATTAAGTCTCTCTACTAATGCTGTACAGGAAATGACAGTCCGTCAGGGCACTACCAGAAATCCTTCTATGACTATGACACCGATCAGTGTTCAAACATACAATTAAAAAAAAAAAAAAAAATTAAAATCCAGTTGTGTTCCAGTTAAACAAAAACTGATGTTGAAGTAGCAAAAACACGCAAGAGATTCCTAAGAACCAGGCCAGATGAGGTGGGTAAGTGGCAGCAGGAACAGAGAAGCAAATAAGAGGATGTATTAATTTCTAGATCTCTGTGACTATCTAAGAGGCAAACTATCCCTTGCAAGAAAAGAAGATCTTCCCTTAATTTCATTTAAGTGCAGCTTTCTAAGCTTCCTTCTTAGCAGCTTATTTAACAGTTCAAGGAACTTTCCCATTTGATTAGAAGAGTAAGTAGAACACACACACAAGTAGCAGGATTTAATAGTTTAAAAAGATGTACTTCGCTAACAAAAATATTCCTTTTCTGTTATACACAGACCATATACAGTATATAAAAAAAGATTTCTATTTTCAGAATGTAATATGAAACCTACAGCAAAAATAAGGATAGAAATCAAATCATAGAAGCATAGAATAGTTTGGGCTGGAAGTGACCTCTAAAGGTCATCTAGTCCAACCCCCTGCAACGAGCAGGGACATCTTTAGGTAGATCAGGTTGCTCGGAGCCTCATCGCACCTGATCTTGAATGTTTCCAGGGATGGAGCATCTACCACCTCTCTGGGCAACCTGTTCCAGTGTTTCACCACTAGTCTTAGTATCTATAAAAATAGCATGTTACAATAAAGTAGATGGATACCTAGATATCCTTAGATCACAGCTCAGTGATCAGTTGTCAAAATCCTGTTAAAACTTCATTAAACTAAAAATGAGTTAAGTTAAATTTAAAGGGCAGTGAAAAGCAATTCTAATAAAGAAGTATGTTAACATATCATTCACTTTTTTCACAGCAATCAGTTCTTATTTTTGCTACAAACCCCCCAAATTTTGTACAATTAAATTATTATACTATTCCACTTAGGGAAACTGAAGGACCTGAGGAAATGGCAGTAATAACATAGTAGTTAGGTAGATGAATGTTTATCAAATGCTTACTACGGATGTGTGAGAAACTAGAAATGGAAAACTTGATTGCTCCGCAAATATAAACATCAATATGTATGTTGATTAAAAAGAAGCACAAAAGTTTAGCTGAAATAAGGAAAACGGTCCCTTGTCACGACTCCATTTTTTGAAATACATATCTTTTCTTTTGCCTTTTTAAGGATAAGATTTTAAAGTGTAGCTGGGAAATTCTGAAATATATGAAAAAACATCACTCACAGAATATGATTTTAACTAAGTGCAAACAAATGCATTAAGTTGCTTTGATTTTCAGTTGTACTAATGCCACAGAAAAAGTAAATAACCTTTCAGACAAGGTGCTCTTATCATATGCTTCATCTTCCTCATTTACCATATAATCTTACTAATCACAACCGAAAGTCAAGAGAATGAAAAGACAAAACAGGTTTTGTAGAAGATCAGCTGGATAAGTATAGTTTCTACCATAGGTCAGAAACATAACTTACTTTTATTATCTAGCTGAGCCCTGTATTTACTAAATCCTTTTAGCCGCACTCTCTGGCCCAGCAGATCAAGGAACTCTTCAAAAGCTGGTCCTGCCATCTCATTGTTATACATTTCTTCTTCTGTGCTTTGACCTGCTTTGCAGTAAAGGATACCAATCTTATGTTGAAAACTCAGCTGAAATAAAAAAAGAAGGAAAGCAAAAATTACAGAAGCAAAGGCAAGTCAATACTAGAACAAATACTAATAATTACAATACGAACACTGTTATAACCCCTGGCAGAAGTTACCTAAAAGTGAAAAAATAAGTCTTCTGCTTTTGGAAATGAATTCACCACCTAAAGAAAAAAAAACAAACCACCAAACAAAAATAAACCCCTTAGTTATCTGTAAAAGCACACTCTACTGCATGTTATAATTGGCAATTTTTGTATAACTGTCTTCTTTCCCAGATTCAAAACAAGGTGAGATTATTTTCCCTTATTTCTACCCTTTAAAGTTCAGTGCAGTTTAGTTAAAACAGGCTGTCAGAACAGTAATATCTGTTATACACAATCTTTTGCCCTCCCCATGAAATTGTCCATTGTTAAAAATTATTCCCCATTTTCAAAAGAATACTTCAAGCTAGAAAGCAGACTGCAGTTAGTTTTGTTAAACAGAGTCTCAATTCAAGAACATTAAAAAGAGATAAATTACTTGTGTAAAAAAAAAGTATAAAAATGATACAAAAAGAGATGATTACTTCTTGAGCACAGTATTGTCTTGTTTTCTTAGCTTTTATGCATACTTAAGGTGACAAACAGGAAACCTTCACGGGAATGGATTAGTCCTGTTATTCTTAACCGACAACTTTTAGAGCTCCACAAACTGACCGAGACCATCAGTCACACCAGATTCCCTTACAACATTTATCTATAGTCATGACTCAAATCAGCTCTCCAGCTGTAGACTTCTCTTAATCAAACCTCAGGATTAGCATCTAAAATGTGTGTTATGCAATATTCCTATATATTGCTATTGGAGCAAAGGTGACAAGAACACTGTGCTTCACCTTAGTCATATGTAGCACATGGTGTGCCATGGTAAGTATATTGTAAAACTCAAATCCATAGACATGCTACTGCACCCATGTTTTACCACCGCAGTTTTGAGGAAAAGCTACAAGAGGAGAATTCTAAAAGGTCCCATCAAGAAAACAAACATACATGAAAGAAGAAAGTGTCAAAAATATTAGTCAGACTGCAAATAAACCTTAACCTTCCCTCTTTAATAAATGCTGCATTTCTCCACTGAAGTAGAGAGTTGCACATAAGGCACTTGCCAACAGTCAATTAAAAACAAAACAAAAAACCAACACAAAAGAAAACCACTACCAAATCCTCATCGCCCCTGGAAAAATAAAAGCTTTCACTATGCTTTTACTAACCTAGTCTTCTGTGTTTTCCTGATGCTACTGCTTTTTTTAAGCTAGTATTCTCTCTTTGTCTCCCATGCAATCCAAGATTTAACTTGACAGCATTCTTGGTTTAACTGCTTACCTTCATGCACAACCAACACATAAAATGTCCCCAAGATGTCCAAGTTAAGGAATATTTTTGAAGGCCATAAATAGAATTGTTCACACTAAGAATCTCATACTCAAAAGGTAAATGTATTAAAATGAACTAACAGGGAAATGCTAGATTATTGAAGTCAACAGCAAAACACTTCATAACAACAATTGGGCCTGGAGTTCTTTTCTTACTATGAAGCTAGGCCTATCAGTGGGACAGTTTCTTCTCATTTTAACAGGCCTAACTCCATGATCTTAGCAGATCTATATTCACAGCAATGCACACTACAGGATTTGGACTACTGGTGTAGAAAACCTGCAGCACAGCAGCAGTAAGAGTAATGTATGATGGCAGCCCTCCTGCCTCTCTGGTGAGCCCCAGTCCACCCTCTCCATTTGCTAAGTGCTTTATGTAGGGGTTATCCCTTGTGGAACACACTCTGGCAGGAAGCCTTTGACCAGGGAGCAGTTAGGAACAAAGAACAGGCTTAGTGAGGACAGGAATGAGGAATGGTGCCACAGTAAGGTTTCACCTGGGCAGCACAGAAGACAGAACTAGGAGCTGTGCCGAAGTTTGATGTGGAATGGGAGGGGTGACCATCTGAAATAAAAGGAGATTTTGGGTTATGAATGCACTGTAGGAGCTTCCTGAGTCAGACCACTGAATTCTGGAGCGGGGCAGGGCTAAGATACCAGCTTGCTCTCATAATTTCCTTTTGACTGGCATTAGATGCTATCCATCCAGGGCGCTTCCTTGTCTCATCCCTATTTTGAAGCACTGCCTGGAGAGAGTTAGGTATTTAACAAAAGATTCCAGATTGCACACTGGTGACTATTTTATTCAGAAGAAAGCCAGCATGAACACTTAATGGAGGAAACTGGAAGAGAACTGGTCATATAAACATTGGATTACAGGAAGTAGTGCTGTTACTTGACACTTCCCAGCAGAGACTTTAAAACGATCGTGAGCACGCTGCCACCCCTATCCCAGGTCTGTGTCAGATAGTTTAGCTTAATCCACAGGGAATTTAAGTTCATTTCCTTGACTTCACACTAGAATTGAGGAGTGGAGAAGCTAAATGCTAACTGAGCCACCAATAATAGGGGAACAACCGACAGTAAAGAAGCACCTGGGCAAAGTATTCAGTCTAGAAATACGCAGTCACACTCCCTTCATTCTTCCTGAGGACACCACTCATTCCTGAATTTGTTCACTCCTGAACAAGGCAGCAGCTGCAAGTTCATTTGCAGTAATCTGAACCTCCTAGCGGTGTGCTAGGAACACTCACGACTATTTAATTTGAAGACTTAAGCAAAAGAACTCTCATGCCAAGATCATGGGGACTGTGCAGAAGCAGAAATCGAGGTACCTTTAGAACCTCAATGCCTAAGACAGAAGTAACTAAATGAGCTTTGGCAGGATCATCTTATGTGGCACATTTAACCAGCATGAAAAACTATCAGAATATTTAAAAGTGATAAGTTTGCCAGTTTTGAAATGGTAAAGGATGCTTATTCAAGTTTTTTTAAGTAAGTAATGGCAGACGTGGTTCTGATTTCATGATTTCTAAATTAGAAATTTTACATTTAGTGTAACACTGAGAACAATTTAATAATGTGACGTCAGAAAATAGTTTCTAAACCCATTTAGCTACTTGGGTATATGATATGCATTAAAGGTGCATAGAAGTCCTTCCTGACTCAGAATTACTATGTTCTAGTCAGAATCACTCACTACTGAATCCTGGCATCTTGTCATCTTCTTGTACAGTATAGATTCCTCATCATTTAACAACTTGTTGACTTTCATCATGTGAAGATTTTAGAGTTGTTCTGGCAAGGAACCGCAAGAGATTAGACCCTCAACGGCCACTAAATATCACTGCAATCAAAGCTCCTAATTTCTTTGGGATTTTTGTAAACTTCAGCTTTTGGCCTAGAGAGAAGTGAACATCCCAGCAGGGATGTGAGTGGAACCAAAAAGCATATATACAATAAACAGCCATTAGCAGAAATGGGGGAGGGAGAACTAGGGGCAAATTAGAGAGAGGTAGAAAAAGAATTCAATAAAATCCTATGCAGAGTATAGATAAATAGTTGTCAGTTCTTGTGAATTTACAGGCAAATCTAGTGCTAATCATCATATGTCAGAATAAATAGGGAAAATGCAGATTCTTTATTTATATATTCAAATTAGGTCAACCACCCAATTTGCATCTACTTTTTACTGTCAGTTTAGAGCCAAAGTTTTAGCCATATGCTTCCTTCATAATCCATACTAGATTTCATTGCAAACTATGAAACAGGTAGAAAATGAAATCAAAACACTGAAACAGTCTTCAGTCTGCTGAAGAACTATTCAAACATTTAATACACTGTTAACACAAAATGAATGTTATTTTGGTGACAGTATTAATCCTCTAGATCATGATTCATATTTTTGAATTCATGACACTTCAGCTAGCCATCACCTTCAGTTGCCAAGCATAAATCTTTTTATATTTGATTGATTGATAAACTGAAAGCATCAAGTACATAAGAGGATTAAAAGCATAAATGGATCTCATGCCAGTTCTATGCACAGCTTTCTGTCTATATTCAAGTAATTATCTCATAATAAGCAGCATATAAGATACTTTAATATTACATTTTGCCTGGTGACAGCCCACTTCACAACAGGACTGAATTTTCAGAATTGATTACCCAAAATAAAAAGAAGTGCTATGCACTCCTGTTTCTCAAAATTAGGAGCTGATGATTAAAGAATTACCTTGGCCAGTTCAGCGGACAATCTCCGTTTCCAATTTTGGGGAAATACAGTGAGTTTGGGAAATATTCAGGTCAGGTCAAATAAAGTAGTACTCTATACTGTCGAGAACATACTACCCCTTTGAGCAGTGAATATTACTTATTAGATTAACCTAAACTCACTCTGGAGCTCAAACAGGAAAGAGAGAGCAACAGTACATCAGGAACTCTTAGATTCAGAACTAAGTACTTCTGATTTTCCTTGACTGTTTTACCAGAAGAACTGACAAGAATTTTCAATTAAAAGTCCTTCTCAAAGACTACATTGAACAGAAGTAGTAAAATATACATACAAAACTAGCTTAACAGTCCACCCAAGAAAGCACTTCTCTTCCTCTGTCTACATTTAATTGGTTTTGAGCAATTGTTAGAGCAGCAAAAGATGACAGAAGAATTCTGGTAGACACCATCAATGTTAGATCCTATCACTACACTGGAATTAGCATTAAAAATATTAATGAATTATATCACCATCATAATCAATTGGATCCATCAGCTGATTCAACTTCAAGAGACAGATACTGACTTTTGCCTAGAAAGTGCAATCTTCACTTTAAATGAACATTTTTTAAAAACAGGGTTTTAAAAATTGATTTAAAAGCCCTCACAAGCCTGTCCTTCACAAAATATTCAGAAGCAATAAATTTAATCACTAGCTTTGAATGAAGCAGATTCACTTTATTGAACCCAACAAGCCTCACCATTTTCTCTGCCAATTTAAGCTGTATGAATATTTCATTGCCATGCAGTTAATTCTTTAGTCTCAATCACAACTTCAATTGTTTGAGCCCAGAAGCATTCTTTTCTAGTAAGACTACGGCAAGTTAATCAAAACATGTTATTGTAAAAAACAACCCAAAAGTCTAGATATGGAGACTTAATATGTTATATCCTTTTGCATCTGTACCTATACACAATATTAATAAAATGTTAGATGTATTTTCATTTGCATCCAGCATTTGTACACATTAAAGTGCAAATACAGATTGTGAAAATCACTTCTTACTGACGTTAAAAGTTTAGTTACAATCTTTCTCTCATTCAGTCATCTAAAGAGAAATGCCATAGACTGATAATTTTTTTCCTAAGCTGCAATGTACTTTAAAAATAATTTGCTTAGAAAAGCAAACCTCATTTTGTAAAGGAAAATGTACAAGCATCTCCAAAACCAAGGCAGTGAATGGTTTGCTTTCAGATCCATGTTATTAATGTTGCTTGCAAAATATTTAAGATTTCTTTAAAGACTTAGTTAAAAAAAAAGTGAAGTCATGTGCTACATACCCCTTGTTCATCCAGTTTAAGCAGCTGTTCAGGTACTTTGGGTGAGTTGGAAGCCTGCCTCAGGCACTGAATGCTCAGCTCTGGTATTACATACTCTAGTACCTCTTTGAGAGGCAGACCTCTTGCTGTGCCATGCCGAGCAGTGGATGGTATAGCATCTTCCAAAATTGCTCCCCTAAGTGTAGTAAGCTGCAGTAAAGGTAAAGCACACAAAACATTTTTTGTTGTAATACTACAACATATAGCATTATAATTATATAGTATTATTATATATATGTATACACACAATATATCTACAAAAATATAAACTTCAGACTTTATCAAAACCATGAAGGAAAGAATGGGAGAGATCCCTATTTTTAACTTTTTAACCAGTAAAAAGATTACTAAATAACTTTTAAAGAGGAGATATTTGTCTTGATGACAAATGTATTTTTGTTTAAAGATGTTCACTGATGATTTTATTAACGTATTCTATCTCCCAAGACTATTACTTTTTTTGAAAAAATATTTAAAACACCAGGAAAACTAAAAATTGTTAATTGTAATGCCATACTACCCTAGCAGACACAATAGTTGAATGTGAGGTTGGACAGGTGAGCTAAGCAACAGCTAATGGCACCTTGATTTAACCCATCCATCTATTTTTTAAACGATGCTGCTTTATCTTCATTGGATTTAGCAAGGAGAGAGTAATTTCTTAGAAGTGAGTCAGCTGAATCACCACTCCACACATACATACAGAGAAACCCCTTTCTGGCAATAAAAGAAAAACCTAGCCTAAAAAAAATTGTGTGTATATCTAACTGTTTCTGTAACTCTTCGTAAAAGCACATGAGCCCAGAGATACCAGGAGGTCTAGCTAGCACTTCTCTATGTCCTAATCACAATAAAAAGCAGTAGTCCTAAGGATTATTAAAATTTGTAGTTTTCTGCTACAATAACAGCATTGTGCATTTTCATACAAATCAAAGCTAGTTGCTGTGATAAAGAAGAACTTAGTTTGCAAGAGATAATAATATGCTTGAAATAAAAGTTATGAGACCTTCTTCCACAATGATCGCAAGCAAGCTATTCTTCCAAATAAGACAATTATTTTTCTCAACATATTAATATTCTTTCTACAAATGATGTATGTAGAAGTATATAAAAACATCTCTCTGAAAAAAGCTTCTAAGAAAGTATTTTGAAACAAAAGACCAAAATACAAATAAATCATATTACTAGCGTTCATATTTTGCCCCTCTTTCCCTACATTTCTTAATCTTTTATTTCTATCATTAGAAACTTAATGGCAAACACCTTGATCCAAACCTATCTTCAGCTTTGTTCTTATCATCTGTTCCCTTGTATCATCAGCCAACTTACCTCCTTTTGGGTGCCCACTCAAAAAAATAAAAATTTTACGCAGCACAGAAGAGGAAAACTTTGTTCCAGGAGCAACTGCATTTACTAATGGTACAAGAAATATCCCTTTCCCATTAACAGACTTACTTTCAAAGTTAGCAACATATCCGCAGACAAACAACTAGTATCCTAAGCTCTAAGTTAACTTTTCCATTCCTTTGCAGAATTACTGAAAGAACATTACCTCACTTGTCCTGAAAACTATACGATAGTTGAACTGAGATCCTTCTTTCTCCTTGGCATCTTCAACCTTCTCCCTCCGGATGCTGACTGCTACAGGTCCAAGATTTTCGTCTATTCCAAAGTAGTTCTGATGCTCTTTTGCACAAGAGTGAATGAAGAAAGAAGAGAATAATGAAGTATGAGTCTCCTAGAAAATGTTCATCAAATCTCATTAAAAATTTCTGCAGCAAAAAAAATAATATTATTTTTAATTGAACTATGAGATCTGTAAATACTGGCTTGTGATCTGAACTGCACAGCAAGTACATAAATGACGATATTCTAAGTTTGATGAGCAGAATGGTCACTCATCACATAACTCAAATTACTGCAATTATGAAATAATTTTTTGCATTTTTTGTTACTATGAAATTAATCATTTTGCTTGATACTGTAAGAAACTACTTTGGAGAAACTATATCTACAGAAAGTCATCAACAAAAGCTAACCATCTTCAAACAAATAAGGTGCTATGTAGCTTCCTTCAGTTCATTAAATTTATTCTTATTTAAAGCTTTACATTCAAAGCAGCAACTCTGTTTTAACAAGTGAAAACTGAGGCTGGTAACTCTTCAGTCTTTGATGAATAGTTAAATGAGCCAACTGGCCCAGTCTGGGGGAGTAAAGCACTACTGTCAGAAGAGGAAGATCAAATTAGAGACTATTTAAGCAGACTAGACATGCTGAAGTCCATGGGATCAAACAGGACACATGTTGAGGGAACCAGCCAGTGTCACTGTAAGGCCACTCTTTATCACCTTTGAAAGGTCATAGTGGGTGCTTACACCCACCTTTAAAAAAGGCAAGAAAGAGGGTCTGGGAAGCTACAGACTAGTCACCATAAACCTTAGTTCCCAGGGAGATTAAGGAACAAATTCTCACGGAAGACATTTCCAGGCACAGGACAAAAAGATGCTTAGAAAGAGCCTGCAGAGATTTACCAAATGCAAATCATGCATGACCAGTTGCTTTCTACAATGAGATGACTGGCTTTATGGATGTTGAAGGAGCAATGAGTGTCACCTACTTGTACTTTAGCAATGCTTTTTACACAGTCTCCCATAATATCCATGTAGCCAAATTGAAGACATGGTTTGGACATGCAAATTACAAGGTGGACATAAACTGGCTGAAGAGCTGGCCTCAAAGGACTGTGATCAGTAATACGAATTCCCATTAGTGGCCAGTTACTAAAAGGTTTATCAAAAGTTCATAGTGGAACTGTTACTGTTTAATATTTGTTAAAATTATCTAAATGATGGAATGGAACGCATCCCCAACAAGTTCATGTACATGACCAAGCTCAAGAACAGTTACACACTGGAGGTTAGGGCTGTAGCCGGGTGCAACAGACGAAGGGGAAGCACTGGCAGGCTTTTCACAAATGAGTAACGTGTGCATAGGGCAGTCACTGAAATGCATAAACCTTGCAGTATTTTACAAAAGCAGGCAAAGGAGGTTAATTCATCCACACAGGTAGAGTCCTACAGCTGTAAGGTCTCTGTGCTTCACTGCCCACTCTCCCCTTCCCCTGGAGGCTACTGCTGCTGCAACGGGACAGCTGAGCTGCATGGGAAGCAACTCCTAACCCACTTAAATGTTCAACTTGACATGTTTAAACAAACTCTCCCTTTGACAATCCGAAAAAAACAGACTGACAAACATCTCATGAAGACCAACATAGGCCTGTATCTGGAACAGAACAAGCTCATACAACAGTGAGGGCTGGGGACCGACTGCCTCAGGAGCAGCTCTGTGGAAAAGGACTGGGATCCTGGTGAGCAACAGGCTGCACAGAAGCCAGCAGAAGCCCCTGCAGAGGTGAGGGCTGACCACACTCTGGGCTGCTCTAGCAAGAGCACAGCAGAGGGTCAGGAGAAGACATGCTTCTCTATTTGGCACTTGTGATGCCACGTAAGGAGTAATGTCTGGTTTTGGACAGAGTGGGATAAGACCAGCAGACAACTACCAAGACAATTAGGGAGCTGGAGCACATAACAAACAAGGAGAGGGTAAAAGAAGTGGGCTGTGCAGCCTAGAGAAGAGCAGGTTAAGGGGCAGAATAACTGCAGGTTTCCCCTAGGTGATGGGAGTTTATAAAGAATCACAGAATCGCAAGGGTTGGAAAGGACCTCCAGAGATCATCCAGTCCAACCCCCCTGCTAAAGCAGGTTCACCTAGAGCAGGTTGCACAGGACATCGTCCAGGTGGGCTTTGAATATCTCCAGAGAAGGAGACTCCACAACCCCCCTGGGCAGCAGAAGGGAGAGCCAGACTCTTCTTCAAGGTACAGAGAGAAAGGACAAGATGCAACCGAACCAAGATACAGCCCCTCATTGAGGGGAATCAAACACAGGAAGAGGTTGCCAGGAGTTTGTGAAATCTCCATCCTTAGAGATGGTCAAAAGCTAAAGGGAGAGCTGAAGGGGAAGACATTCTGAGCAATCTATTCAGAACCTACCTTTAAAGGCAGATTTAAACAGGGAATTAGACTGGATGACCTCCAGAAATGTCTTGCAATACAATTTAAGCTATAATTCCATATTTTAAATAGCAATGAAGTAGTAAGACTAATATCTCCTTTTAAGATTGTCTAGATTAAAAAACACATTGCTAGCATTTTTGAGCTAATTTGATACTATTTTTTTTTTACAATTTATTTAGAGAAATGTGTAAGGAATTTTTTTGCAAAACATCTTTCACCAAGAAGTCATCCATACTCAGAATGAATACAAAAAGATAAAGTTATCTCTACATAAATGACAGTCTTATTTGTCAAATCAAGTTTTAATTAAGCTTCCAGTAGCCTCTCAAAAAGCTATCTGTAAAGTATGTTGGTGGTTACAGTCCATCTCCAGTGGAGAGGAAATAAGTAGCAGCACATTACTACTGGCATCCATTTTTTGGAAGGAACACTTGGGATCAAAGGGGCACAGACATTAAATTATTCACTCATGTTCACCAGCTACATTCCTTCCCCAGCCTGAGCATTCTACCTGCATGGATAAATTATACCTCATGGATTTCCAGGTATTAAAATAAAACTTCAGGTATTAATGGGCAAATTTATCAAATGGAACAGGATTTTACAGACCAGACAGGGGGCTGGGGGGGGGCGAAGAGAGAGAGAGAGAGGGCAAACGCTTTCAACAACATAAAAACTCCCCATAGCTGCACATTCAGGCTTTGACAAAAGGTAAACTTCTCAGTTAGGGTTTCTATAGCCTTCCATTTTGATGTAAATCTAGAAAAGGGTATTACACAGTTACTAGATTTCTTGGTTGCAGTATTATGGAGCAGAAAAGTGCAAGCTTGGCAGGTATCTGCTTATTCTTGTACAATATGAAAGACACAAAACTAAAGACGTTATTTATGTACATTAAAAATAGAATAGATAAAACAGTTTCAAGAATGGGAATGATAGAAGCTGAACTAAGTTAAAGACGACCATGGATTTGGGGAAAACATTTTTAAATCAAGGTGCTTTTTTTTTTTAATCTTAAAGTACAAACTGATTAAGCTCATTTAAATGTATTTATGTTGATTTAAAAGGGAGACCCTCTATATTTTGGCACCACGTAGATGTTGCAAGTATAGCAGACTTATATTGGTTAAATCAGTATTTCAATAACTTGAATAAGCAATCAATAGGGAGAGGAGGAGAGGAGGAGAGGAGGAGAGGAGGAGAGCTATTTTATAGCTGTTTAAAGAAAGGTGGTAAAATATTCCTCATTTTTTACTTTTTCATTTTGAGGAATAATTGTCAACTTTTCTTCCAATACAAAAGTCTTACTTACAGAAAACTAAGTTACTACCAAAAGCTTGCTAAGCCTGTATGTCTCTTCTAGGACATTTTTTCAGTTTCCTACCAGCAGACAGGCACAATAACATATTAAGAAATGGTTGCAAGCATCCTTCAAATAAAAAGCATGGTAGGAATAGTCAAGTCTCAAGGTATTATGAGGATAACTGCACAAAGTGAAAAGGCCAAATCAATTATAATAAAAGCATATTTCAATTATCCTTTTAAAAAAAACCAACATAGCTTTTATCCCACAAAAATATAGTTCACTAAAGGACACCATTAATAAATCAAAACCACGAGAAAATAAATATTCTAGCTTTTACAAACCTTAACTGAAAACTGAGAAGATATTTTCCATAAACATTAACATATTTTACATCAGTCCTGTTGGATTTGATTTTAACAATAGTTACAAAGCTTATAAATATGCAGTATAAAACTACAGCTCATTTCAGAAGACACTGAATTCCAAATCTCTCATTTCTTGAAAAGGAATGGAATAATTAGTGCTACACATGCCAGGGTTTTTCTTCCATGCATCTTAAAACAGAAATAAAACTTGTACGCTGACAAGTGCCAATTATAAAACTGTGAACTAAATCAAATATTCAGAAAGTTGTTTCTCTTTCACAGATATCTTGTTAAAGGCAAAGAGAATTGGTGGAATTACATATGTCTCTATATACAAGTGACTATTGTTTGCTAAATTTTTATTTCGTCCTTCCACAACTATTTTGCTAAATTCAACTATGCTATTAAATCTACAATTCAATGAACAATCAGCTAGGAGAGGTCACTGTCATGGAAGAACACCAGGTAAGACTCCATATGCATATAAATGTCACTTTTTTTTATATATGGGAAATCAGGACGACGTTTTGGTGCCCAAGTCAAAATGCCTGTTTTATTTTCTCTATCAAAAATAAACTTTGCTTAGGTGAGAACTATGTTCAGCTGGAAGTAATCTAGAGATGCTTGATCCCTTGAGATAATAGGTACTGAAAATTCAGGTTTTAGTTCCATCAACATGTTTGCCCCGACCTGCTATCTGTCTCGCAAGAGCCATCCAGTACAGATTTCTCTCGTGTAGCTTCTGTTACAGCTCTACAGAAAGATAATGTGGAACAGGGCATGGCTTATACATCATTTTAAAGGTGAGAGGATAATAATTTTTTACTGGATATTAAATGCATCACATCGTATTTACTTTTGAAGAACTCTACCTACAGAACAATTGGTAGCAAGGACAATAACAATTCAACTTTCCTAGTATTATACTACGTGGGATAAAACTCTCAGATACTATTTCTTAACTTTTTCATACTATATTAATATAAACATACTTTACTTTTAGTCAAAAGATCATATATACATAATACCAGAACAGAAGTTAATTAAAACTAATTACATCCACATCAACTTTCCAGAAAGGTCATTAGGTTTGTTTATAGTATATTAAAGTGGTTTTGAGTACTCTTTGCATTTTCTTTTTTTAATCTCTCTGACAAGATTTTTCCTCACAAAAAACATTCAGCCCTTCAAAACCCATAACTCATCTGTGATAAAAGCATTTCACAAGCAAGCCCCCTTTCATCTGGCTTAATCCTTGTAATTTTTTTTTCCATCCTGCCACCACCCTTGTGTCCTGACAATCTTCTTTTCATTTCTGTCTAAGCCAATTCTTTCTTCTCTCTGCCCCTCAAAAAACACGCCACCCTTCTGTCACGAGTTTCCCTTCGTTCTCTTCCACTCTGACTCCCTCAACACTTTTTGATCCTTTACAACCTGGCTAGCTTAAAAGCCATTTTGAAACTCTGAATTTACTGCCCATTCCTTGCTTAGCTCTGGGTCTTTTTCTTACTCTCCCATGCCAGATCCAGATTCTTTCCTTCCTTGACTTTCAAATACAGTGATTTTACAGCCAGTATGTTCTAGGTGTCTACCATATTGTGAAAACAAGCACTGTACTGTATCCTCTTTCAAGTCCCTTGTAAAGGGTCACAGGAGGAAGGAGTACAGTACGGTACTTATTTCCTGCTGTTCAACCATAGAATGCAGAGGAAGTACGATTTCAGGAAGACTCGGGCTGTAACGAATAGTCTTTTGTCTTTTAAGGACAGAAGCAGGTTGTTAGTTATTTTTCTTTTCTTTTAATAACAGCAGAAAGACTGAGCCGGAAATCGTAATATAGAAAGGAAAGAGACAGATATTTTGGGGATCTCCCCACAAAACCATAGATTTCACACACATTGCAGAATCCAGTACTGAATACAGCCAACCAAAAGTAGATCAAAAAGTGGAAATAGTTTATCTAAATAACTATTCAAGCCAAGATAATTACTCTGCTGAGAAGAGTACCCTGGCACTTTGCAGTGTGAACATCCTAAAAGAACAGGGTAAAAAGGTAGGAGAAAGGTATAGAACAACCTTCTTTCAGCTGAAAAACTAAATATCAGCAGGAGCAATCTACTTAAGGAGTATACATATGTGCATACAGTACGACAGGATCCAACAGACACCTGAAGACAGCAGAATCTAGAAGTCAGAGGCCTCAATAATAAAACTTTCTCTTTTGGAAGCACCTTTTAGGAAATAATGATTTCCACCCTGGGTATCAGTATTTCCAATGCATTTACTGGATATAAGTGTCCTCTTTTCCTCCTGCCCACCGAGAAAGTTTGGTTCAGAGAAGTTAGTTTATGTACTAATTTAAATGACCCCACACTTAGTGAACTTACACAAGTATTGCATAACTTCATACATAACCCACTGGCTGCTGAATATCCCTCTGGGAGAACAAGACTAACAGGCTTAATTTCAGTAAAGAGTTTCAGGATCCCCTGTATTACTTAGGTCTCTATAGAGAGAAGGAGGAGGAAAAAACGTGATCTCTACTAAGCAACTTAAATCTAATGCATTAATATCTCAGAACAGTTGCATTAGAAAAAGTTACCTTTTCCATAGAAGAACTTGCGGTAATAATATGCTCCAAGATCAATGTGTTCTATGATGTAACGCTTCACTTTCTCTCTGTGAATGGACTGGTTTTCTCTTGGTACTTCCAGTACTGAAACACCAGCATTTGTGCAATGGGAACTGAGAGAGGACTCAAAAGAACAACTTTCACCTGAAGAAAAAGATGCTGAATTTGCCCTAGAAAGTGCAATCCGTCTATCTCCTTCCCCACCAGTTTCATTCCTGAAGTAAGGGCAACTCAATACTAAATCATTGCTTTTCCCATCACCCTCATCAGCATCTAAATTCTCTTTTGAATTGAGATCCTCTTTGCTTCCCAAAGGAGATTCACAGTTTCCCGTTTGGCCTGCTGGCATCTGAGTTTGTGATGCAGCTGAAGCCCCAGTGGTTATGTTTTTTCTTTTTCCTACATTTACTCTGGTAGCCATTGCTTCATTTATGTTAAACAAAACGCTCTGAACATCATAATGTGCAAAACATTTCTGACAGTTCCAAGAACGAACATTTCTGTCAAGTCTATCATCCAGATCAGACGAAAACTTAAAAGTTTCATGCTCACTTTTAACTGTTCGCAATTTTCTAAATAGAGATGTTTCTACTGCTTCCGTTTTTAGTCTCCTTTTGAAAGATTTCTCCCTGTCTCGACCAATAAGTAGAGCACTATCCATATAATCCAAGCCAGAAATCCTGACAAATTCTCCCCTGGAAATCTGTGCAGCAGCATGTAGACTTGGAGAAACTGTAGGATCACAGTGGAAAAACTCAGAAAATCCAAATGGAGCAAGGGTTTTATGCTCAAAATTTTCCACTCTGTATCCTCTTAGCATTGCAAAAAAATTTTCTCCAGACAAGCCTTGTCTATCAATTGAAGAGGTACTGCCATATTCTCTATGAAGAGCTGCTCCAGTATTTGGGTTAACAGCATTCTGGTCTAACACATCTTCAGCATCAATATCACTTATTGTCACATCACTGTTGCTTCTTTGCCTTATGGGATGAAGTCCCCTTTGAGGGGAATGAACAAAGAGATCTCCAATCGAGTATTTTCCCTCTGTAAATTCCAATTCTAGCTCTTCCTGCTGTCCATCACTTTGGTCATTTTGTCCATTTGGAAGTACTGAGCCAACACTTTCATAACCAGTTGGAGGTCTGTTTTCCCAAGCAGCTTTACTCAGCTCTTTGGAGCAATCCTTTTTAGGAGGCCATTCAGATACCCTTGCTCGAACACCCATTTTAGGCACAGCTGGTGTACCATTTGTTTGATTATTTTCAGTTTTGCTAGATGCATTAGAAGAAACAGGAGGACCCATGCTACCATTCAAAGCTTTAAGTTTTCTAGCAAAATAATCATCAGATTGCATGCTTCTTGAAGACTCTCTGAACTTTGAGGAAGTTCTGCTAACTTTGTGCTTATCTTCTTGCAAAGACCTTTGATCACTCATGTCCAGTCAGTGGGAGGGGAACTGCTACTATTGCATAAGTTTACTGTTACTTTTGTTATTACATTGTCTTTTATGGGCCAATAAACTGCAATATAAAAATACAGTTACAGTCTTCCCAGAAGTGCAAGCAGCAACCTCAGTGTACCATTTTTGTACAACTTCTGTCAGGAGAGCAGTCTTAAAACATTTCCTTCAGTTCAGACGCATTCAGTTCAGTATTACTCCAGACAAATTTCTTTTATCTGTTCATAAAAAAGAAACAGAGAAAGTACATTAAAATGTTTATAGTCAATAACGCTAAGCTTCCAATGTTCTTGTATATACACAACACCCCATGAAACCGGAACTAGACTTACTTTGTATGGTTTTCTATCCTCTGCCTCCTTAAAACCCAACAAATGCAATAATCCCAGTTTCCCATATGATGCCACAAGATGCGAGCAGTTTGAACCTGCGTCTCTCTCATGGGCTAGCTGGTACACACATGTCAAATAGCAAATCAGGTCCTGCCAAGCAGAATAGCCACATACAATTCTCTCTGTGTTCCCTTCAATGCTGACAGCAACTTAGATGCCTATTCTCTGTCTAATCGCTAGGGTTTTTTACGTAACATGAAAGAACATAGGCATCTCTAAGATACCTTTTTCAAGTTTGCTTGAAACTGGCTAATACACACAGGAGTTACAGGGGCAAGACTGGTCAAAAATGTAAGCAAAATATATGAAACAGGACCTTAGACAAAGGAAAGTGTTTTGTCCCATTTAAAAGAACATTTTAAAAGCAAGTAATCTTTCCACTATAATCAATTCAGCGGATAAATGTATTTCACTTTTTTTTCCTCTCTCTCCCCAAAGGGAGATTTACTTACAATTGCTTTATTTGGAGTATAAACTATTATTTAGCTGTGTAGAACAGTTACAGGTTTTGTTATAATATATTCCTCTGGTTGAAAACCTAGACTGTTCACTCAGTTACTCTGCTAAAGAACATGTCTGCTGCCTTCCACAAATAAGAAAAGATAGTAGCCCTATTCATAAGTGTTAATTTGCTTACAAAATTGGAATTGATAGGTTATAAAAATATTCTTCAGTGGCTTTAATGGTCTTAAGAATGACCATAACTCATGCTGTGAAGATTCATTTACAGGCAGAGGCCATCCTTTAACCCACTGCATAAAACTGGAATAAAATAAGAGACAAGACAGCACGTTATGTACTTCCTTTTCAGCTTTTGTTCCTTGAACAAAAACACCAACATAATGATGTTTTAAGGCGCTGCAAATAAGCATAATATGCATTTACCAGAGTTTAAAAAAAAAAGGTCAGGTCAAATTAGCCTGGAGTATGAATTCTCCCCTTATTTCAGTGAAGATATGAGGTGGTAAGATGAGCTCAGAATATAAGTGGGTTTTCATTTACATTTAATGCTATAAAAATTCTCACACACACCCCCCAAACCATGGGACAGAAGGCCAAAGGAATAATATACATTAAAACTTGACAGATTATTATTTCTGCTTGTCAGAAATCAATACAAAGCTGTGTTTGATACAGCACACTTTAACCCATTTTGGTAGAAAAGTCCTAATAAACACAAATTTGTCTTAGAGTAGCATCATGACTGACACGGTTTCTATGTGACTGTTACTAGGAATGGGTAGCAATAACAATACAACATTGCAGCTTACTTTCATTGCATACGAATTCCTCAGAACTCCTGTTTGATGGCCAATCATGTCAATTAAAAGAATTTTTAGTTCCTTACAGGAGTCCAAAAGATTGTTTAAACAACCAACGTGTTCAGAGAAACAGTATTTCAAAAGCAGGCTGTAGAACTTTTAAACAGACAAATGCACACTACTGCCCCATTTATTTTCAATCCAAATCCACCATGTGATTTACCATTTGACCTCACAAACAGCTGTATTTCTGGAAGGCAGAAAAGAGCCTGAAGGCCACAGGAAAGTAGGAGGGGTTTTTTTTGGTGGTGGTGTTAGCTTAAATACTTGATGCATGCATACAAGCCTGAGTATTTTATAAGAAAGGTACATTGCAAAAGGTAGTATTTAAAGAAAGAATTATTTTTCTTTACTGTGTAAAGCTCGTGTGACAGAAGACCAAAGAAATGCCTGTTTTGGAACTGCAGGTTGACATATTATTGGAAATATATTAATATTTGAGGATGTGATGCAGTATATTTAAGGTATACTCGCAATTAAATTTTTTTTTAACCCCAAAGGTGGCCTAACTGACAAAATCTGCCTCTAGTTAATATAAATGTGTGTGGTTTGGTACTGACCATTCCTGTAAATTCCCGTAACTCAGTACAACAGCATGTTTTGGTTGACAGCTGACCTCTGCGGATGGGTAGCACTACATTCTCCTGCACTTGTTCTTTCAGGTTTTTCTCTCCCTCCATAGTAAGAATTTAGCAACTCACAAATATTACCCTATAGGTATTGATACTATTTATTATAAACTAATGTTGTTTGTTGAATTTAATAAACTTCCACAAAAAATGCTGTCAATATGATTATGAATACCCTTCTCTTCAGACCTGTACAGGTCAAGTTCTTCACTTCTCTCTCTTTTCATCTCCTCCTAGCATTTAAGAATGGAATTGCTGACAGATATGGTCAGAAAAGAAAAGCTGGAGCCAACCCTTCCCACTAAGGCTGCTGGATGTTATGCAAATAACTTAAGTTCCTTCCACACAGCTACAAAGACTTCCTTCTGAGCTCAATACAGCAGCTGGTTTGTTAGCCACAGTTACAGTTCTTTAACATGGAATGATTCCAAGTTTCCTGGGGACCTGGATACGTGCCCACAAATGTTCCTGTGCCAGTAGCACAGCAATGAATAAGAACTGTACTATTGGACTATCCTGTCAAAAGGAGGCTGTTTGGTAACGCTGCCTCATGTCACCCTTGATAGATGGAAATGAATTATTTAAGAAGTCTTTCTGTGATCATTTTGTTGATCAAGACTTTGGAAATTTGCCCCTATTATTATGTAATGTTATCATCCTAAAAAGAGTGCATAATTTGGATGAAAGCATTAATCTCTACTATTTATCAAGATGACAATTCTATAATCCGTGACTCTCAAGCTCTACTAATCTTAAAAAATGGGAAGTGCAGTTTGATAAAATAGGAGTATAGGCAGGAATTGTATGCCAAAAGCTGAAGATCAGACATTTAGTTTGCATTCAATTGATTCTATACAGCATTTTCTGTGTGCTCAGAATCTGGGTAGTCTCCACTCTTCAAAGAAACACATAGTGGAGTAGAAGTGATACGTATTTTGCCAGTATAGCAGAGTAGCAGTTACACAACAGCTACTTTACGGGAATGCAAAGAATGCAAGAAAATTCTTCCTTCGGGCCCATACTTTTACGTGCAATGAAAAAGAACAGTGCAAAGGAGAAGTGAATATGGTTCATAAGCTGCCTGTGTTTTCACAAGTTCTGGACCAGATAACCCACTGAACAAGTCTGTCACAAGGTATCATTTCCTAAAACTAAGGTTGCCATTAGAAAAAAAAAGTAATTTTTTTTAAAAAGAAGAAAATCATACAAAAAGTCTTTTAATGCAAGTTCAAACTTGTTTCAGTTTGCTTATTTTTAAAAACAGACTACATTAGCAATGTTTTCAGATCTACTTATTTTCAGTCTATCTGTTAACAGCATATATTTGTTAAATGATTCTTAAACGGGAACTATCCAATTTTCAGAAGCAAAATGATGGCTATGCCTGGTTTTTAAACCATGCTACTTATTTGTGTGTTCAAGCCATAAAATTCTGGTCACACTGAACTGCGATATCGTATCATGACAGTTGATTATGATGTCATGCAGGAGAATTATTACTGCGGACAGGAGTACAGAAGAGGAAAATGAGTTCTTCATGTATTTGTTTTCATGCAAATATCTTTAGAAAACCATGATATTTAAGCATAATTGTCTTTAAATAGAATATTTCTTTCAAAGTTTTCCATGAGGCACAGTGAATATTAAAGGATAACACTAACTATAATGGAGCCACTTATTCAGATTGCAGCTGTGGAAAATGGATTGGAAATAATACAATGAACAAATTATGAGCACAGCTCATGAAAAAAAAAGATTCAAATTATTATACATCAAATTTACAATTAAAGCTACAACTACTACAGTATAAATGGTTACTTCTCATATGCATATTTCAGATACTTGATAGATAAGAGGCAGAAGAAGGATGGGAAGCCCCTCATTTGACTAATGGAAATACATATGAGCTGCTGTGTAGTGAATATTTGTTGCACACTTCCTTAGCTGCGTTGTATTTTTTTACATTTATAGTCTTTGCCTGTGCGACAAATGCAAGAGCAGAAACTGAAAAGAACCCTGTGTTGAAATGACATAGTTACAGATATGTATCCACAGAATAATCCACCAACAATGATACCACAGCTTAGCTGATTTGGGGGTTAAGGAGAAGGAGCTATAACCAAGAATAACAACAGCCTACATGATTCTGAATGCTGCTGTAAGACCACCACGTTTCTTGTCAAAACAGTGGAATTACACTAGTTTGAGACTGGTGCAAGATTTGGGGGGGAAAAAAAAAAAAAAAAAAATTAAAAGTCATACTGTCTGCTCTTCAAACATGGTTCCCTTGTCCAACAAAGAAAATGGCAGATAGATACACATAAATATGGAGAGACGCAACATGTAATTTTGGAGCAATGAATCTTTAGAACAGAACTTTGAATCCCATAGCTGTTTAGTACTGTTCAATGAAAGGTGTTTTATTTTTAAGAAAGAGAGACCTCCAATCATAACTGTTCTCCTTCAGTAATAGGTTGAGAAAATCATCATCTTCATCTACAGGAATAACTGTATAAGATTTAACAGTAAAACAGAGACCCCTCAAAATGTTAGACTTGAGTTTGTCTTATGGTCAAGATCCCCCACCTGTCATCTTGGCTTTTCCAGAGAAAATAGTTTAATAAATCACACCTTCCAACTACTAAACTCACTGATATGAGTTTGGGGTTTTTTTTAAATACACTACAGCTATCTATTAAAAAGAATTTAAAAAGCAGTTACAAAATATATACTTTCTCTGGTGTATCTCATCACAAAGTTCCAGCAGCTTCCCTTGCTTTCCATGAGTATTTTCTCTTACACATTGTATCTCAAGTCATGCTGTTTCATAAAAAAAAACCACTGCTGAAGTTTTTAATCAAGCAACCTAGGTCCT